GAGGAGGAGGAGGAGGAGGAGGGGGAGGAGGAGGAGGAGGAGAAGGAGGAGGGTGACGAGGTAGGGGAGGAGGTGGAGGACGAGCGGGCGAGGTAGGGGAGGAGGTGGAGGACGAGCGGGAGGAGAGGAGAAGCATGCAGAGGAGGCAGTGAGGAGGATGAAGGGGAGGTCGAGGCTGGTGATACTCACCGGGCGATGGCTGCAGCTCCTCCCTCACAAGGCAGCACGGCAGCACGGCAGCACTTCAGCACGGGGCGGCACTTGAGAACGGCGTCAGCTCCTCCTTCAAATGGCAACGGCACTCCTCGCAGGAATGGCTGTGGCCAACCAGAAACCTACCCAAGAGGCCCAGCCAAGCCCACCCACCCACAGTACAAACAGGTTTCGAAAATTCGAAACCTCGTGGTCTGGCCTTGAGCACAGGCCAAAAAAAATTTTTTTTGGCCTTGGCATCAATTTTGGTGGGGGGCCTCCAATGTGCCGTTTCGACCCCCGCCTTTTTTTTTTTTTTTTGTGGGGGKGGGGGCGGTTCAGGCCATTCCCTGCGCACCTCGTGCGCCGCGCGGGAACGGTTGGGCGCGTGCACAGAACGTCAGGAAACTTGCGCACGACGTGCGCTTGCAAGTATGTTCTTGATTGATTTGAATATCTGATTGCTACCGTCTTCACCGGAGTAGAATGTCCGGTCGTTATCGCGATATGTTGACTGAAAGTTGCGCCAAATACGCTATAATGACCGGGCACTCTATTTGGGTGAAGATGGTAGTGATTGGTGTTGCTTGGTCTCTATTTGAATATTCCTTGCTCATTTTGTTTTGTTTTGTTTTGTTTTGTTTTGTTATGTTTACTGCGCTGCAGAGAACTCGCCTGTGCTGCCGATAAGAGAGTGTGGGGAGTCGATAAAGACGGACCAGTTGCGTCGGAGCCAATGTTGTTGTACTGCATGTATGTTCCATCGAACTCTCCATTCAAGCCAGGAGTGATGCTCTTTACTTTCCTCCTCTTTTTTTTTTCTTTTTTTTTTTTCCAAGGAATATGAGCGAGAGCAATAGACAGAAATCCAAGTTGCAAAATCACGAAGTAGTCCAGATAGTCATGTACCAAGCAGAGAGCACAATGCACCTGCACCAAGATTCCATCCAAATAAGAGCAATAAAATGAACCCAAATGTCAATGCAGACACTCTCTGGTCACACCAATACAGCATCCAATGCCGGTCCTACTGTCTGGCACCCAGCGCCCAGCCTACACTACTCAGCCTATCTATCCTATCGACATTCATGCGACTGGATCACATCAAAATTGAAGACCAACGTACGTGACGTCGTCACCAATGCCGACTGCCAGCATACACCAGGTACTTTCTCTCTCCTCCCCTCATCCCACCTTGACTCCCCTCTGCATGCGCCTCCTAACCGAAGACCACCATCGCCATCACCCGCCTTCCGCATGCTCCGCCCGGCTATGGACGCCGTGCGCCCACTGCCACCGCAGTGCCCTCACACCTCTCTGGGCCCGCGTGCGGCCTGGCGGGCTTGCGCTATCGCAACAGCGCCTGGCATTGCAGCAGCGTGGCCATTATGCCTGCCTAGGCCAGAATGTGGCTGCCTGGGCAGGGCACTTTCCATTATCGAAGGTGCGGTCCTGTGTCTGGCTGCGTGGGTCTGGCTGAGGAAGTTTCCAGTAGCTTCCAGTCGGGCCCCGGTGTCTAAGCCGAGGCCCACCTCGGCTGTTATGGGCCTCGACCTTTTTCAGTTGGGCACGTCCAGGCAGCCGTCCACGCTCCAAGTGTTTGCCCCATTCTCATTGGCTCGTGGAGGTTGTGTCCCGACAATGCTGCTTTCTCATTCGTCCGTGGGCACAGGGTGAGGTGTGTCGGCCTCCCACTGTGTGTGCCCAAGGCGCAACCAACCGGGGCCCTGGGATCGACCGTGCAGTGCAGCTGTTGCTTCTGGAAGAAGCCAGGAAAGGCTCACGTTGCTTCGTAACCAACTGGCGTGCTGCAACTGTCTGATACCACACATATGGAAAAATGTCGAACAGAGTCCTCACCTGAATATTCAGGCCCGCCTTCACTTAGGGCGGGCACAGTGTTTGCTGGGGGCCACAGCCGAGCTCACTTGCATGTCTGTGAGGGCCCTGTGAGGGCTCAGTCCTCGAAAATCCCTTTCCGTTTCTTTGGTTTCCCAAATATGATTTGAAATTTTGTCCACCTATGTTGCATACCGTATAGGTGCAGACCAGAACAAGAACCGACCTTTCAATACAAGGTATAAGATAGCACAGCGGAAGACTTAGATACCAGTGATCCGAACAATCAATGTTGTAATGCAGCCCTGAACATACATCATCATCAT